AAAAAAAAAAAAAAAAAAAATTTTTTTCAGTAAATCCTTTTTCATCGATGGTAACATTATAAACTTGAGTATATTTTAAAGTGAATTGTTATATATTGTATATACAATATATACAATGCAGAATGCAAATTAATGTGGTATTAACTTGATTTTTTAAAATACTCTTATTTTAAATGTTTATATTTTCGGTAAGTTTTTTTTTTTTTCTGAGACGGAGTTTCGCTGTTGTTGCCCAGACTGGAGTGCAATGGCATGATCTCGGCTCACCGCAACCTCCGCCTCCTGGGTTTAAGCAATTCTCCTGCCTCAGCCTCCCGAGCAGCTGGGACTACAGGCACGCACCATCATGCCCAGCTAATTTTTGTATTTTTAGTAGAGACGAGGTTTCACTTTGTTGACCAGGATGGTCTCGATCTCTTGACCGCCTGATCCACCCGCCTCGGCCTCCCAAAGTGCTGGGATTACAGGCTTGAGCCACCGCGCCCGTCCTTTTCGGTAAGTTTTGATGCAGATGCAAATTTTCTAAAGGTTCATTTCATCGTCCTTGTGGAATTTATTAAAAAAAAAAAAGTCACCTGTAAAGTTTGATTTTTTTTTTTTTTTTAAGAGGTAGGGTGTCACTCTGTTCCCTTGGCTGGAGTATAGTGGTGCAATTGGCTCACTGTAGCCTCTAACTTCTGGGGTAAAATGGTCTTCTTGCCTCAGCCTCCTGAGTAGCTAGGACCATAGGTGCATACCACCAACCCTGGCTAATGTTTTTGGTTTGTTTGTTTTTGGGTTTGTTTGTTTTTTTTGAGACAGAGTCGCACTCTGTCACCAGGCTGGAGTGCAGGAGTGCTATGGCATGATCTCACTTGCTGCGACCTCCAACTCCTGGTTCAAGCTATTATCCTGCCTCAGCTTCCCTAGTAGCTGGAACTGCATACACATGCCACCACGACTTGCTAATTTTTGTATCTTTAGTAGAGACGGTGTTTTACCATGTTGGCCAGGATGGGCCCCATCTCCTGACCTTGTGATCCACAGGCCTTGGCCACCCAAAGTGCTGTGATTACAGGCGTGAGCCACTGTGCCCAGCTGTTTTTGTTTTTTGTTTTGCTTTGTTCTTTTTTTTTTTAGAGAAGGGGTCTTGCTATGTGGCCCAGGCTGGTCTTGAACTCCTGGCCTCAAGCAATCTTCCAACCTTGACCGCCCAAAGTACTGGTATTATACCTGCAGGCCACTGTGCCATGGCTAATTTTTTGTTTTATTTTATTTTACATTATTACAGAGACAGAGTCTTGCTATTTTGCCTAGGCTAGTCTTAAACTCTTGGTCTCAAGTGATCCTCCCACTTTGGTTTCCCAAAGTGCTGAGATTATAGGTATAAGCCACTGCCTCACCTAGAATTTCGTATATCTTTGTGGAGTATTTTCTTTATGTAAAATTTCATTTCTTTATTTTTTCTTTGCAGAATGAATATTAATGATGTGACTTTAGAAATAATTGGATCATTATTTACCTAATAATGACTTTAACACAAGGAAACATTGCAGTTGAAAAAGTTTATATATGTATAATTATAGATAGACTGAATATGTATAGTGAGTTTACTATATATATGTAAAATTTATGTAAAATGTAATTGCTTTAGCGTTTTTTAACCTTAGGCCCTTTGTAGTATGTAAAACTTTTTTTTTTTTGACAGAGTCTTGTTCAGTCACCCAGGTGGGAGTGTCTTGGCTCATTGCAGCCTCCATCTCCCAGGTTACAGTAATTCTCATGCCTCAGCCTCCCAAGAAGCTGGGATTACAGGCACATGCCACCATACCCAGCTAATTTTTGTATTTTAAATAGAGACAGGGTTTCACCATGTTTGTCAGGCTGGTTTCGAACTCCTGGCCTCAAGCAATCTGCCCACCTTATCCTTCCAAAGTGCTGGGATTATAGGCATGAGCCACCACACCCAACCAAAATTTTGTTGTTGTTGTTGTTTTTGAGACAGAGTCTCACTCTGTAGTCTGGGCTGGAGTGCAGTGGCATGATCTTGGCTCACTGCAACCTCTGCCTCCAGGATTCAAGTGATTCTCCTGCCTCAGCCTCCCGAGTAGCAGGGATTACAGGCGCCGGCCACTACACCCAGCTAATTTTTTGCATTTTTAGTAGAGACAGGGTTTTACCATGTTGGCCAAGCTGGTCTGGAACTCCTGACCTCATGATTTACCCTCCTTGGCTTCCCAGAGTGATGGGATTACAGACATGAGCCACCTCACCCAGCCAAAATTTTTTTTAATGTAAAAATTGTTTTAGTTTCACTTTTTTCTTTCCAGAATGAATATTAATAACATGACTTTAGAAATAATTGGATCATTATTTCCCCAATATTAGACCTTAACACAAGATAACATTGCTATGGAGTAAGTTTATTTAATTGTAGTTAGACTGCATAGGTGTAGTGAATCTATTGTACATATGTAAATACCAATAAGCTTCTGAGATTGCATGTTATTTACTAGAGTGCTGGAGAGGTTTTAAAATGTTTAATACTCATTTCTTTTTTTCTTTTTCTTTTTACTTTTTTTTTTTTTTTGAGATGGAATTTCACTCTTGTTGCCCATGCTGGAGTACCATGGCATGATCTCGGCTCACTGCAATCTCTGCCTCCCGGGTTCAAGTGATTCTCCTGCCTCACCCTCCCAAGTAACTGGGATTACAGGCATGCAACACCATGCCTGGTTAGTTTTTTGTATTTTTAGTAGAAATGGGATTTCACCATGTTAGCCAGACTGGTCTCAAACTCCTGACCTCAGGTGATTTGCCCACTTTGGCCTCCCAAAGTGCTGAGATTACAGGCGTGAGCCACCACACCTGGACTTTTATATTCATTTAGAAGCAGTGGAACTATCAGTTTGCCTGTCATTATTATAAATCTTGTTGTAAATATTAGAGAAATATGTTATAATTTTTTTTATTTCACATTTAGGAGCAGGTTATTATGGTTTGTTTTCTGTAATGTTATATATATCAGCTTAAGAGGTGGGGCTTATCTATCTTTCAGGGATCAAAGTGGCAATAAAACACCTTGTTCAGAGATCCCAGCCTGTGGGTGCAGCAAGAGCGGGGTGCTCCCTAGCATTTTCCTACAAGACTGTAAAATTGCTTTAGTTTCAACAACAGTTGAGCAATTCATTAAAAACTAATGATGGGGCAAGCATGATGGCTCAGGCTTGTAATCCCAGCACTTTGGGAGGCTGAGGCGGGTGGGTCATTTAAGGCCAGGAGTTCAAAACCCACCTGGCCAACATGGTGAAACCCTGTCTCTACTAAAATAACAAAATATTAGCTTGGCATGGTGGCATACGCTTGTAATCCCAGCTACTCGGAAGTATGCAGCATGAGAATTAGTTGACCCGGAGGGGTTGGAGGTTGTCTCAAAAAAGCCCAAAACTGATAGAGTGTTTACTTAACATTTCTAACACTTTATTGAAGGTTGTGGAAAATGTAAAAATGACAGGCTCAGTATCAGTTTTTCGGGGTCAGATGAACGAGTAAGTTGCAGGAAAATGCAAGCACAATACTTATATATGTCACATAAACGGAAGCTTTTTCTCTTTGGTCTTTTTCATAGGGAGAAGAGTGGCAGCTGCGTTGGAAACTTGATTCGAATGGAACATGTAAAGACAGTTTGTGATGGACAATATTTACATAATTTCCAACATAAAAATGGTGCCATACCCATCACAAATCTAATGGCAGGTGACAGAATTATTGTGAGTGGAGAAGAAAGATCACTATTTGCTTTGTGTAGAGGATATGTGAAAGAGATTAACATGACAACAGTAACTTGTTTATTAGACAGGTAATGAAATGTTACTTTTTTTTGTAACAGCTTTATTGATGTATAACTCACATCCGTATAGTTCATTGATTTAAAGTGTACAATTTAGTGGCTTTTAGTATAATCACAGAGTTGTGCAGCCATCACCACGATCAAGTTTTAGCATTTTCATCACCCTAAAAAGAACCCCCAAGAAAGAAGCCCTATACCCTTTAGTAGTCACTTCTCAGTTTCCTCCAATTCCCCCAGCCCAAGGCAACCACTAACCTACTTTCTGTCTCTGTAGATTTGCCCACCCTGGGCATTTCATATAAATAGAATCATGCAATATGTGGTCTTTGATGACTGGCTTTTTTCACGCAGCATGCTGTTTTTGAAATTCATCTTCATGTTGTAACTTATATATCAGCATTTTATTCCTTTTTTAAAATAAATTTGCTGGGTGCAGTGTCTCAAGCCTATAATCTCAGCACTTTGGGAGGCTGAGGTGTGTAGATCACCTGAGGTCAGGAGTTCGAGACCAGCTTGGCCAACATGGTGAAACCCCATCTCTACTAAAAATATAAAATTAGCTGGGCGTAGTGGTGCATGCCTGTAATCCCAGCTACTTGGGGGGCTGAGGCAGGAGAATCGCTTGAACCCAGGAGATGGAGATTGCAGTGAGCCAAGATCGTGCCATTGCATTCTAGCCTGAGTAACAAGAGTGAAACTCTGTCTCAAAAAAAATATGTGCCGGGCGCGGTGGCTCAAGCCTGTAATCCCAGCACTTTGGGAGGCCGAGGCAGGTGGATCACAAGGTCAAGAGATCAAGACCACCCTGGTCAACATGGTGAAACCCCGTCTCTACTAAAAATACAAAAAATTAGCTGGGCATGGTGGCGCGTGCCTGTAATCCCAGCTACTCAGGAGGCTGGGGCAGAAGAATTGCCTGAACCCAGGAGGCGGAGGTTGCGGTGAGCCGAGATGGCGCCATTGCACTCCAGCCTGGGTAACAAGAGTGAAAC